GAACTGTGTAGCGAAAAACATATTTTTAAATCAATTAATTTTATAATATATATATATATATATATATATATATGTGTGTGTGTGTGTGTGTGTGTGTGTGTGTGTGTGTGTGTGTGTGTGTGTGTGAAATATTATAAATAACTTCGCTTATTAAGTTATTTTCTTGGACGTGAAATCTTGTAGTGAAAGAGGCATTCACGAAACCAATGAAAGTATTACGAAACAGACAAATTTCATTAGAAATAAAGGAGAAAGTAATGAACTGTCGTGTAATATCAGTCCTCCTATGTGGCAGATGAAACAGAGATCTGAAGCAACAGGAATCTGGGTCTACGAAATGTTGTTGAGAATTTCAAGACCAAAAACATATGAGCAATAACAAAGTTCTAGATAAAATGGAAAGAAAAAAAGGCTACTTATATTTAACATCAGGAAGAGCAAGTTGAAATTTCTAGGGCACATATTGAGGGAAGGGGACTAAGAAAATTTGATACTCACAAGGCAGATTGAATGCAAGAGAAACAGGACAATAATACATAACCTAACTAGAAATTTTGAGTAAATGGTTAACGGAACAAGATTTAAGAGAGATAATAAAAAGACTAACTTTATTAAGAGCTATAAGGACAGGTAATAGTGGAGAGCCACGATCACCAACGTCTTGAAGGGGCACAACACATAAAAGCAGTGCTCGGTCGTTGACAGGAATGTAACAAAAATGTGCACAGTAAAACTATCAAAAAACAGATGAAAGCTTAAGTTTATTTTCACTTGTGCCAAGAAGAAAACCAGAGTACAAAATAAAGAATAATGATTATTTTTTAATATTAGTATTAACCCAGTACAATGCCCAAGAGCAACTCAAGGCAGAGGGTTACTCTGAGTACTGGAATATTAAGAAAACCGGCTGCTTCTCGATCTCTTTTGAAATCCAGCATGTAGTGTCAGTGTGAAAACTCTAAAAGCGCTAAGTATTTATTAAATAATGAGAAGATATTTTTTGCTCTTTGATTGCTCTGTGATAACCGCAAGCTTCCTATGACGTGTAATCACAACGAGAAGGTATTCGCAGAGACTTGTTGTCACTTGATCTGTGGAAACCATCACGCACCAATGGCGTGCAATCTCAGCGTGAGGGGATAGGAGATCTGCTGTCGTATGACCTCTAATGAAGAGTTAGCAGACGATACCATTTTTTTTTCCCCTTTTTTTTTAAGAACAAAAAAAAAAAAAAGCTCCAAATCTCCTTTATTTCGACCGTTCGAACCGTTTTCTGTTGCAAAACTCCCAACGCGACAAACACCCAAGAACGCTGCAAATACTTTCAGTACTGCGTATCTTTGAGACTTCCATTATTGGCACTACTTGAGTTTGCTGATACTCAGACTGACTACCAGTTCTTCAAGACGATGAGCGATGTCGGTAAACTTAGAAGAAAGACGTAGTTGCAGCCAATCACCCACTCTCTTTATTTCTTACTCCCTTTCTCTCATTCTAACACACACACAAACACACAGTCATATTTTCACAACTATTGCAACTACTTATTCCACAGGGTGCCCGACCGTGTTATAATAGTCAGTAAGTTGATATCGTAGATTACTTGAAGAATAAGTTCGATCCTCATTGAGTGCTCTATACTCGTATCATGTAAACTAATAATTCTACAAAGACAATACCTACAACTTCGACCATCTTGTTGATTACTACTACTACTACTACTACTACTACTATTGTTATTCTAACTATGGACTGCTACAACAACTATTACTACTACTACTACTACATGCCTGACAGAGTGATATGAGAATGAGATGATTGTAACATTTGCGAACTTGTGTTCGATTTCAGTGTTTGGACATTCTTGGCCTGAAAGAAACGAACTTTTTTTTGGATAAGTTTAAGGGGGGGAAAATCCTAACCCATCGGCTCATATTATTATTATTACGTTTTTTTTTTTTTTTTTTAGAATTTTAATTTTTAGTGCGATGAAAAAAAAACGATAAAAAAAGAAAAAAAAGAAAGGAATACATAGGATATGCTAACAAAAAAAGAAGAAAAAAAAGAAGATTCAACTATAAGTCGAAATGGGAGGGGGGTATTTAAGAAAATATATTAAGATTGCTAAAATAGCAACTGCCTAACGCGCCAAAAGTAGAAAAAAAAAGAAAAGAAAAAAGAATAATTATTTGTAAAAGTATTCCCCAGACTAACAAACGATTCATTTTTTTCAGAAAGTTCATTTTATTTCTCGATAGAAATATAAAACATTAACGTGTATTTTATAGTTTTTAAACAAAAGGAGAAAAAAAATAACATATCGTGGTTATATATAGTAAAACAAACAAATATTTAGAATGCTAACGAAAAACTAAAACATCTAAGGACACAACAGTAAGAAATGATAAAAAGAAGAATATTAATTACTTATTTACATATCAAATGCTTTAAACATTGAGAAGTCATGAGAAATTTGCCTTTCTTATTACTGTCCTCTTAGAATCTATCTATCTATCTATCTATCTATCTATCTATCTATCTATTCAATTTGTTCTGTCATTATATATTTTGCGAAAAGAAACACCTACACAAGTTTCTCAAAGAAGGCGTTGCTCTAAGCAAACCCATCCATAAATAAGTAACTTGTACATTAAACTATTTTTTCACGCGAATAATAGACGTATACGTACACATCTTTTATTATAAAGCAATATACACTTCTTGTATATATGGACATATATATATATATATATATATATATATATATACTCATACACATAAAGACACACATATGTAAGTTAGTTCTCTAATAAGTGATGTGTTTGTTAATAATACTTTTAAATTAATAAGCTTTCTAAATCTTTTCACGGAACTTTCTCTTACTGTTTAAATGTGATATATTTAAATAGAGAATTGATTGAAAAAAATCATAGTTTTTTTTTTTCTTCTCCAGAAACATCGTTTGTTTAACTTTAGGATTTTAATCAGCTGTTGTTGTTTTTTTTTTCTGAAATATTTTTCTAACTTAATTTAAAAGAAATAATTTTGAGAAGGCTTAACAAAACACAAACTAAATACCACACAAACACACACAAACAAACAAACAAACAAAAAAGAATGAAAAGTCGATCTTCTGATGCAGTCTTACGAAAGATTATTAGGTACAGAGATTTTTTTTAAATATTTTTAAAAAAAAATTCTGTTAAATTTTCGTTTTAACTTAAGAAAAATATAATCCATTCTTCTCACTGTTTTTATTAACTCTTGTATTTTTTACGGTTTGACTTTTCATATAGAAACATATATCGCGTTAAGCTCTATTCCATGCGACTATATCAACAACACAGAAAACAACAACAACAACAACAACAATAATAATAATAATAATAATAATAATAATAATAATAATAGCTACGTGTGGCGTTGTTTATCGTTATCATTGCAAATAGTAAAAACAAGAGGGAAAAGAAAAGTCGTTTCTCTGAAACTTGTTCGTAACATATCACTGTGAGAATCACACGTATACACAAAACTACACAGAAATACAAGTTGAGCACAACAAACTGACTGACATACATTCACTACCGCATTTATCCACAAGAGTTCATTCAGTTTCAGAAATATCTCTCGTCAACATTCTGATAGATTAATATTTACACTGACATATACGCTAGCGTAGAGAAAAATTTGTTTTGAGCATTTCCATTGATATACATACATACATACATATATACACACACACACACATATTCACGTCGGCACCGGAGGACAGAAAGTCACATGGAGCTTTTATAGACGTTACTGTTTGTGTGTGTATATATATATATATATATATATATATATATATATATATATATATATATATATATATATATATATATATATGTATATATATATGTAAACGTATTGATGGATTAAAAGCGCTTCACTAAAAGTCTTTTATCAAAATGTTCTGCTGTGAATTCGGACAAATTATTACCTAGGATTTGAATTCTTTACCGGAGGATTTTACAACTTTGTTTTGTTGGCTTGTTCTAGACATTGCTGTTAATTCAATCGTTATCAGTTTTTTTGGCAATCGGAATTTCGGGCCTGTATGACGTTAATTTCGAAAATGTAGCTTTAAGGGCTGCAATAGGAAATCGAATATTGTTTCATGATCTCTTGAAGATTTCCGGTTTTCTTAATATGATTTCGCTAGTGAATATAACTGGTATCTAATAGGTAATAAGAATTTTTTGTTTAAAAAATTTAATTTAGAATTTAATTTATTTACAAGTAAATAACTTCGACAAAATAACTCGAGTTCTTCTTGTAAAAAAAAAAAGAAATATAAAATAAAATTCACTTTAACGAAAAAATCTGTATTAATATATTGACATTTAATTCAGTCGGATAAATATCATAGAAATATAAATATTATATATGTATATCTATATAGCTGTGTATGTGTGTGTGTGTTTGCGTAAAAGTATTATGTTTGAAAATACAGATACCCAAAATTTATCTCAATAGATTTGGGTAAAAATAATTTTGCAAAACCAAATAACGAATCAAATTATTTTAAGACAGAACCACACTTAACTTCGATATTAAATTTTATTAAAAAAAAAAAAAAAAAAAATGGTCCCATATTCTTGTTTTTTTATTCTCTTTCTCCTTCCACAAATGTTGACAGCGGCAACCCCAGCCGATTCGGTCAAAAATGAAAGCGCCTTACAGGAGATTAAAATCGGGGTATTGCTACCCGAGGATGACAAATATTCTTGGTCACTACCCCGAACTCAGCCAGCGTTGGAATACGCGGTAGAAAATATAGAAAATCAAATGAAGCTCTTGCCTGGCTACAAAATCCAACTGTACTTCAATGACTCAAAATGCTCGGAAACGTTTGGCCCCTTAGCCGCCATCGAAATGTATGTTCAGCGTTTGGCCCACGTGTTTATCGGGCCGGCCTGTGACTATGCGGTGGCTCCTATTGCCCGATTTTCAAAATACTGGGGTATCCCTATTCTCAGCGCAGGGGCTCTGGTTAACGCGTTCAAAAACAAAAAGGAATATAGTCTGTTGACACGGGTGCAAGGCTCGTTCGACAAGGCCGGCGAATTCTTTCTCATGATGTGTCAGCATTTTAATTGGACCAATGTTGGTTTACTATACAAGGAAAATAAAGTAGAGAGCAAATCGCGTTGCTATTTTGCCCTCGAAGCTATATTTCTTCATTGGAAAAATGTACACAACACAAAACTTTGGCACAAGGCAATAAACGAAACAGCGAGTAATTTTACCGGACATCTTATGGAAGCTTCGCTAAAAACAAGAAGTAAGTATTTTTTTTTCTTAAAATTATTATCATTTTGAATCGTGTTTGTAGCCGTGTTTTATTTAATTTTTTTTATATCTGGTTAGAAATCTATTAATCTAACAATTGTCATATGAGAGCAGAATACATGTTAGATATGCTAGCGATCTACAAACACCAATATATATGGAAAACATGACGCGAAAATATATGACTTAATAATTGGGATTATATAAATAACAAAATGAAAACTGTATTGTGGGGAGTTTCGTCCCATAATTGACATCTTCAGCCACAATTAATCTTATTAATAATAAATATCATCATATATATATATATATATATATATATATATATATATATATATATATATATATAAGGGAGAAATCCTTTTTTTTACATGTTCCGTTAAATACTGATATTGTACCAATATTAGATTTTTATTTAATTTTTCTTGTATTCGTACAAGTGCTTTCTTTTCTTGACACAAAGTGTAGAAAAACTGTTCAAAAGTTTTTCATATTCGAGCGCTTTCGGCTATTCTTTTGGCTATTATCAAAGATGATTTTTTAAAATGAATGTGTGGTTTATATATATATATATATATATATATATATATATAAAATATATAAATATATATATATATGTGTGTGTGTGTGTGTGTGTATATATATATATTTGTGTGTGTGTGTGTGGAGTGTTGTGCGTGCGTGTGTGTGTGTGAAGTGTTGTACGTGTGTGTGTGTGTGTGTGTAGCGCACGCACGCGTGTATTTCTGCATGCATGTGTGTGTGGTGTGTTGGGGTGCGTGTGTGAGTGTCTGTGTTTGCGTGCGCTCGAGCGTGTGTGTGTATGTCTGCGTGCGCTCGAGCGTGTGTTTGTGCGCGCCGCGCGTGTGTGTTTCTGCGTGCGTATATGTGTGTGTTCCTGCTTGCGTGGGTGGGTGGATGGTTGCATGCATGTGTGTGGGGGTGTTCGTGCGCTCATGCGTGTATGTGTGTGTGCGCGCGCGCTCATGCGTGTGCGTGTGTAGGATATATAATCGTATCCGTAACAAATTTGGCAATGATGAAAAAATGTGGCAAATTTATTAACGACGCGTTTCGCAGGAGAGCGTATGCTCCTTTTGGCTTCCTGAGGTTAGAATAATAAAAAAAACAAAAGACAAAACTTTGTCCGTGGAAAATGTCTGAGTATAAGTGGGAATCATAAATCAAACTAAATTAGCTTAGCTTATCACCCACGAATATCCAGACATAAGAGACATATCAGATGCTTTTATGCCTATATGTACCTGCATATACCCCGATATATATCTATGCACACATATACACGCGCATATTCGTCATAAAGCCTGATATATATATATATATATATATATATATATATATATATATATATATATATATATATATTCCTCATACAGCCTTATATATATAAGAAACCAATAAAACTGTCAAAACTACCAAAATTCATAGCAGCATGAATCCATCCAGCCTTTATCTTAAACCAAAATTTATGATGAAAATCAAAAAAACAGATGAAAACTACAGATAAAGTTAATCTTTTCCATCAAGCCATTCATTCGTGTAATTCACTGCTACTAACAAGCAGAATTTTTTTTTCTCCTGATGATGGCTATGCTGGCCGAAACTAGTCAAGGAATGTAAGTGAAATAATAAAACAAAAAAATATTAATATACAAACCAGTGTGTCTGAAAATTTGTATTTTTAAAAAAAAATTTTATTGTTCAAAACACACACACACGCACACACACACACACACACACACACACACACACACACACACACACACACACACACATATATTATATATGCGCGGTACTTATTGGAAAGTGCTCAATATCAGTGACAAAGCTAACATATTTAGTTGGATTGATGTGAGTTTGTGACCCTGAGTTTCAAGCTATTTGCGATCATCAGACAAACAGAATAATTTAAAAATTTCTGATTTATATATGGTTGCGTATGTCGGTGTTTTTATGGAAGTGGGACGAAAAATTATCGTCGGAAATTCACTCATATATATATATATATATATATATATATATATTAATCATATATATATATATATATATATATATATATATAATTCACTCATATATATATATATATATATATATATATATATATATATATAATTCACTCATATATATATATATATATATATATATATATATATATATAATTCATATATATATATATATATATATATATATATATATATATATATATAATTCACTCATATATATATATATATATATATATATATATATATATATATGGTTTTCTTCGACAGGTCCGTTCCCAGAGTGTTTTTACTCGGGAGCAGCTTTCAAGCGATGGGGATGCTGTAAGAATTTACGCACTAATACTGGTTCATATCATTTTTACAGACGTTGGCTAAACAATTATGGTGGTGAGGGTGGAGGTAGCAGCCCCGGATGTCCCCAGTTGTCTGTTTTGTTTTTTTTTCAACAAAGGTATATTAATAAAGAGCTGCTGTTTAAATGTATACTTAAACATATATAGGGACGTATTTCCTAGTTTGTATGCAAATCCTTATATATGCGAAACTACCTCTTTGTGTGTTTGCGTGTCTGTATATTTGTGCCTGAGACCAAACACAGAATTTAATAGATTAACATTTAGGCATCTAAGCATAGTCTGGTACAAGATTAGGCGATGGTGGGTGTTAATGATGTCTGAACTCACTACACTAACAACGAACTCTGTGAGACTCGTTTACTTCGCAACAGATTGTATGTATAAATAGTTCTCCATGATAAATATTCAGATAAAGATTCATCAGTCACGCCTTGACCACTTATTATATATATATATATATATATATATATATATATATATATATATATATATATATATATATAGGAACGGTAGGTAGATTAATATAAGGATTAAACTTAATATAAAGATTAAACTTATAAGACTTAATATAAGCATTAAACTACTAACAATCCACTGAATGATGCGATCCTTATGTATAAAATTGTTGTCAAATGGATTATCTCTTTATAATATAAAATATATGCTACCTATATATATATATATATATATATATATATATATATATATATATATATATATATATATATGATGATATAGACAACGAATGTCTATTATGTTTGATCATGAGCCGTTCTAAGCTTCGTATAGTGGGTTTAGTTACGGGTGAAAATAAAGACAAAAACAGTGCAACATTTGGATATTTTTTATTATGCTGTTCCTCGATTTAATCTTTTAGCTTTTTTTGATGGTGAACATCTCTGTTGTAATGTCCATATAACCAATCCAACTCATGGCAGCCTATTTGTGTGTCTGTATATACAGATATATCTATCTACATACATATCAGTACATATTTAGCTTTACTTCACTATGTAAAAATGGGTGACATATGAACATCTGTCATTATCATCCGTTCTCACTATCTATCTCTCTATCTCTCTATCTATCTATCTATCTATCTATCTATCTATCTATCTAGGTATCGTTATCTATTTATAATCTATCTATCTATCTATCTATCTATCTATCTATCTATCTATAGTTATGTATTTATAATAATCATCTCTTGTGGTACGTAAACTGATATAATTTAATGCCTGTCATAATTTTGTAAATAAAGTGGTCAATAGATATGTAGAGCAAAAATATAAAAAGGTTTTCGATAAATATCCTGAAACATTTAGATATTCGTTAATAATAATCAATATATACTGTCGCCCAAGAATACAACACACACACACACACACACACACACACACACACACACACACACACACACATATATATATAATATATATATATATATATATATATATACCTGTCTGTATATATATATATATATATATATATATATATATATATATATAGATATATATATATATATATATATATATATATATATATATATATATATATATATATACAATTATTATTTATAAAATTATAACATAAGTATGTTATAAAATCACTACAAAATAGCCATTTTTGTAGTGATTTATAACATACTTATGTTATAATTTTATAACATATATAATTATATCTGCTCTACTTTGTATTGAGCACTCTTTTAAGAATAGTAATTGTTGGTTATTGGAATTCATTCCGTATATACCAATTATATACTTTGATATATATATATATATATATATATATATATATATATATATATATATATATATATATATATATATATTCCTGTTTCAAAAAAACCGATGAGGACTGTGGATCGGTTCGCCTTTCGACTGCTTCACACCTGCGTGTTCTTTTTGAACAGGATGAGGAGTTTCTCCCTTGTTTCCTCTTCAGCATAGTTTTCCGATTTCTTCTAAGCACTTTTCGTTCCATTTCACCCCTTTGCGTCTTAGTGGCATTATCGCTTGGGTTGCGATGAAATAAGTAATATATATATATATATATATATATATATATATATATATATATATATATATACGTAGGTATATTGTATGTAAATTTTTCTTTATACTTGCTTCATCGAATCTGACGTTCATTCAAAGGAACTTATATATATATATATATATATATATATATATATATATGATTTAGATACATTTATGTTTTCTGCCTTTCTCTCTCGCTCTCTTTCTATATACATAGAGAGAGAGACAGAAAGAGAGAGACAAGAGGAAGAAAACAGAAAACGTTTATGTATTATACGTATATACATCTTACTTTGAATGTACGTCAGATTCAATGAAACGTATGAAAGAAAAATTATATATATATATATATATATATATAAATATATATAGATTGCGAGAGACTAACAGAGCAAAAATATTTAGGGTCGCTATACATTTTCCTTTTCGTGCAGTTGGATCAAGGTTTAATATATCGGAAAATATAATTCGGCGATCTAAGATCGAATTCCGACTGAATTAACTTAGGTCCATTTTGAACTAATTTTTTTTCAGAAAGTTTGCTCCCAATAGGTCAAGTCATAGATTTTCATCTACTGGATGTGCCATGTAAATTAGTCAAGTCTGTTGCCTTGGTACAATGTTACGGGAGAAGCCGGTATGGATGGTAATTCTCCCCACCATGATGGTACTCTGCGTGGTGAGATAATACGACTGACATTTCATGTGTGAAGGAGCTTCTCTTACTATCATTTGCGCCACTTTAGATAACATACTCATACAAACAGCAAAATTTGTCATTTTTCGTAAAGTAGTGAATGAACATGCGCACATCTCCCTCCCATTTAGACACTGTAAACCACACTGGGTATGACGATAAACTACATCCATGTCCTGGGTAAGACGATAAACTACGTTCAACAGCAAGGCCTCTAATCAGGAGTTTTTGATGAGCATGGAACCACCTCCTAAATGCTAGTGTTCCCAGGTTCACCTTGACTCGGGGTGGCAGTACCTGTTAGGGTCCCAGCTATGGGCAAATTGTTAACCCCGAAACTGGGGTTAAATCACTATGAATGTGTAAAAATAGATTTTAATACCAGAAATAATTAAAAATAAAAATTATTGCCAGCAATGTATATTTGAAGAAAAAAATATTGCAAAAATGGATTTATGAAGGAAAAAAATATTACCAGCAACAAAAATTTTGTTGGCATTAAATAACCTATTGAGGTTGATATCCTGTAAAACAAAACAAAACAAACTATCGCTATGAATCTATTTCAAAATTTTGTTGGCATTAAATGACCCACTGAGGTTTTGATATGCCATAAAACAAAACAACCAATCAACCAGAAATAGATTTTTGGAAAAAAATAATACCAACAAAGAAAATTTTGTCAGTATTAAATAACCCATTGAGGTTGATACGCGATAAAACAAAATAAACCAAACCACTCTAAACCAAACATATTCTATTCATACGAAGCTATCCAAAAAATGCTGTCAGCATTAAATAACCCATTGAGATTGATATGCCATACAACAAAATTAAATTTAGGCTCTGTAAGGGCATTATCTTCATTACTATATAGTTATTTACTCAGGGTAGATTAGATGTGACACAATACTGAATGTATGGAGCACGTAAGACAATCTCGCTAACCATTGCACCACGTCAAAGAGCAGCATCCTACTTCCTAAACAAAGCCGTGTAATAATTAATGTGTATAAGCAAAGTTAAGTAAGCTCATTGATTTTTCTTTTTCTGCAGATTATCAATCGTTTGCAGCTCATTTAAAACCAGAAAGTATTTTCTGATTGTAATTTTTTTTTGAGATAATGGTTTTGTGATATAAGTCTTACTAATTAACCCATAGCTAGAGGGGGATAGACGTCTATTCATACTTTCCATACAACGAGTATTTGCCCGTAACTGAATATAACAGTGAGTGGGACTGGGGACTCTGATTAATATTTCCCTGACATTATATATTAAACCAGCCACACACCCAAACTTACACCAAGCTAGTATTCCTAAGCGGACACCCATCTATGTACTGTCAAGGCTCCACGTTAACTTCGCTGGGTAAGACGATAAACTACGCCCGACAGCAAGGCCTCTGATCAGGAGGTTTTGAGGAGCGTGGAACCACCTCTTAATTGCTGGTGTTCCCAGGTCCACCCTGACCGGGGGTGGTAGCACCTGTTAGGGTCCCAGCTATGGGCAAATAGATAACACCGAAACTGAGGTATAAACACTATGAAACTGTAAAAATAGGTTTTAATACCAGAAATACTTTGTAAAAAACTATTACCAGCACTATTTTTTTTGTTTGAAAAAAACTATTACCAGCAATACGTTTTTGAAAAAAAATTATTATCAACATGTTTTTGAAAAAAAAATCACTAGTAATACATTTAAAAAAAAAGAAAATACCAGCTATAAATTTTTGAAGGAAAAAATAATACCAGAAATAGATCTTATGAAAAAAACAAAATAAAATAAAATATTACCGGTAAAACTTTGTGACAAAATTAAATAACCCATTAAAGGTTGATCGGCATTAAAAAACAAATCAAGGTGATATGCCGTCAAAATCAAATCAAACCAAGTGTTTCGATGTGATCTTTTAACCTAAAGTTACGAAAATACGGAGCATTTTCGAGTAGAAATCAAATAACTCTATCAGTGTTCAAGAGAATTTCATGAACCATAATTGAAACGCTATTTTAGTACATCTTTCCGAGTAATTATGGATTATTATTTCAGAGCAGTTCGTTATTATAGCGAGTTCGATCCTGAAACTGTGTACCACACATTTGTGGCTCTGCGTCAAACGAAAATTAGCTGAATGAAAAAAGGTTGCAATATTTATCAGACTAGTACTACGGGGGGAAAATGATTTACTCTTGGTACCACACATCATATGCCGTATTTGACTGATAGTTTTTTTTAACGGTTAATAAACCTGAATAAGGTTATTTAAAGCCAGGAAATACTTGATTTTACTGATAAAAGTTTTAATAATTAGCCTATAACCCGGGAGAAGAGAAGTGGAGTCATACGCTTTACAAAAATATTTGCGAGTAAATGAACACGATCGTCAGTGGAAGTTACCCCTCTGATTTCCAAATCTTCGCGTTTGCACATCGCACCCTCTACAAATCCAAACTTACACCATCTGGTATTACCAAACAGTCATCCATCTCGACCAGACCCGACTTTGCATTACTTCGGTGATCTAAACGAAAAACGGTGTTTTAAATGTAATAGGACCATAATCCTAAGAGGCGGACAGTCAGATGTAAATTATATATATATATATATATATATATATATATATATATATAATTTAGATCTCAATATATCATTACATATTCATGTGTGTATGTGTGTGTCAGAAGTAGAGCTTTAAAATATGATTATAATAAATAGTGAAAATATGATATATATATATATATATATATATATATATATATATATATATATATATATATATATATATATATAGAGAGAGAGAGAGAGAGAGAGACAGAGAGAGAGAGATAGAGATTTGTAATTATATCATATTTTGAATATGTATAAAATCATATTTTTAAAAGCTCTATTAGCACTAAATAACTTTAGATCATTAATCTTACTGTTTTTCCTAAGACATCAATCAGACACACACACACACACATACACACACACATACATATATATATATAAATATATATATATATATATATATATATATATATATATATTTTATATATATTTGTGTGTGTGATATAATCGTTGATTAATGATCTAAGTTAAACAGATTTAAAATATGATTGTTATATATATATATGTATGTATGTATGTAATCATTTTACTCCAAACAATGTTATAAAGTAAGACGACCGCTAAACTACACTATTAAAGAGAGAAAACAATAAAAGAACAATAATTAAGAAGACAGATAATAACGACTGACATTAATATGTTTATATGTGTGTGAGTGTTTGCTCTTCCTTGATATATACTGGAAATGAAGCGGTCATGTTTGCTCTGTAACCTCAGCAAGAAAATTGGCGCGATCAAGCTCTCACTTCGATCACGGGACCACAATAGCACCAACTATGAGCACTTATGAATGGATTGCAGTGTGCCAGGTATTTTATGGCGAAAATACGG